TCTTCCTCGCCTTCTTGTTTATGCCCGCATTGTGTGCGATGGGCGATATATGCAGCATATCTCATTCGCGCGGAGCAGCTCTCCCAAAACGCATTCATACCATGCATTAATCACCACCATTCCCGCGCCGATAGCAAAACTCCCATTATCTGTGCTACCAGAGATAAATTCTGGTCTCGCACAAAGAAAATTAGGAAGCCGCCACTGGGTCTGTGCCCTCTTTTGGAGTGCGGCATCCGTTTTTGTTTTTGTTTTTTTGTTTTTGTTTTTGGTCTTTTGGTCTATCATCTCATCTTTCAGGTCCCCCTTCTTGTCTCCTTTTTCCTTACTTCCGGTGCCGCTACAATTGTTTTGTTCTTTGCGCTCATCCATCACGTCATTTGATCGTTGTTGATTGTTGTTTTCTATCGAAAGAAGAAGAAAGAAGCTTCCTTCGAGATTTTTCATTCCTGGCATTGGAGTCATTGAGTCCCTATAATTGAAAAAGGTCTCGGCGCAGGGGGTTACATTTTTTACGGACGGCGTTTGGGCGCGATACTCTTCCACTCCCACCTCTTCCCTCTTTCTGCTGTCCAATAGCCTACAGGCCCTTTTTGCTTGTTATTCGTTTTATTGGCTCGAAGATGCAGGACAGGACGGGGTGGGCCGGAGTGGGATTGATTTGGGTGGGGGAACGAGGCATATGTGTTCAACTCATAATTGGTAGTCTTGTGGAGTTAGCGACGCTTGTCTTTTTTTATCTTCCTTGTTCATTTTTTTCTCCCGCCTTTGCCTTGTCTTCTTCTAGGTTTCTCTTTTCATGTTTGTCTGTTCTCTATAATGAAGCAAAAGTCTTAGTTTCTTAATATCAAATAAATGGCCAATCATAACCATGGTCTTTTAATCTGTGGTATCTCCCGAGCGCTACGCGACTTTTTTCTTTTTTTTTCGGACTTCCTTTCGTCAAAAACATGTGGTTATGATTTTCTTTTTTCCTCGTGCCCGCTCTCATCGGTCGGATATTGTAGGTATTGGACGGGACAGTTGTCTTTTTAGCGGATTTACTTGGTTGGGGTAGGGCGGCTGTGGACTTGTGGTAGTCCGGTGAATTTACACGTTCAGATCTGGCGGTGCGTTTTTCTGATTTGTTCTTATTTAGTTTTTCATTCTGACTTTTTAAAAAAAAAATATATGAAAAAAAAGAAAAAAAAGAAGAAAAAAAGAAGAAAAAGAAGGGGAAAAAAGAAAAAGAAGGGGAAAAAAGAAAAGAAAGGGAAAAAAAGAAATGAAAGAAAAGAATAGAAAAACACTGGTTACGTTAGTCGGTGGTGTAAGTGGACCTATTGTAAGCTGCTTTACCATAACGTTCGATGACGATAAGCAATCATCTGACTCGACGAACCCTTCACGTTAGACGTTCCAGCGTAATAGCCGTGGAGCGTTCTTTACAACGCGAGTGGAAGGAAAATAAGATATCGAGTAGGAATAGCAATCACATTGATCTAGATACGTTCTTTCCTACTGGTTTTCTGCAGAACAGGCGAGAATGTATGTTCCGGTATAGGGTGGCGTTTCCCCTCGGGATAAAAGACATTTAATACATCAGTGGATATTACAAGATCTGCGCCTTGAGTCGATCGTTGAATTTCACCATGGACATATAGCTCGGGTTCGTTCCTTGGCGTTGATTTCAGGTTCCTTTGACGCCTAGGGTAGCTCTCGAACACAACATCACGGTACAGTATCACATCCACACGAGTAGTTTCTGAAGTATTTCTTTTTTCCCTTGTTTCGCTTGTCCATGACGCGAAACCTGGTATAAAGTTATCCCATTCCGCGCTGCAACCGAAAAAAAATAAATAAAGAAAAAAAAAATTGCAGAGCCTCGTGAGTCACAGTGAACCTGTTTCATCATATCTCTCTCCCTTCTCTGCCTGGCGAGAAGATGAATTGTTTCGTCTCATGCCCCATGAAAGGAAAGTAGGAAGGGTTCGTGTCGATGCTCTCTATAGAATCGCCTGGGTGGGACATAAAACCAGTGCGCGTTTTTTTTCTCGTTTCCTTTTCCTTGGCGCCTCACCCCCCTCCCCTTTCTTCCACTTTGATTTCGCCTTTTCATCCAGCTTGTTCTTCCCTGTTCGCTCTAATTCCATGTTTTCGTTTTCCGTGACAAATTGAAGTTGCTTTACATGACGACACCGGAGTTGGAGGCGATACGCTGCACGGTAGTTCATTAGCGCTTATGGATCGAAAGCGGTGCCTGTGGTGGGCTGAGAGACTTACAGGCCACAGCTCGGCGGCTTCCTTGCCGACGGGGCCGGTGATGGCAGAGCCCTTCATCTCACCCTTGGGGTTGACGATCTGTCCAACACAAATTAGCTCGTGTTCTGCATTGTTAATTTGATAGAGAGATGCAGGCGTATGGTCCGAAAACAAGAGCCATGCCAGCAGCTGGGACGAATCGGTTTCCCCCTTTCCGTGCGTCACACTTCGATTCGTCCAGCTGAGGATGGATCGCTCCCTTTGCAATGTGCATCACCTCTCAAGAAGCCATCAGGAGGGAAAAAAAACTCCACGTACAACACCGGCGTTGTCCTCGAAATACAGGAAAACACCGTCGAATCGCTTCCAGGGCTTAGATTGTCTGACGATAACGGCGGGGTGGACCTTCTTTCGCAGCTCGGGCTTTCCCTTCTTGACGGTAGCCATGACCATGTCGCCAACACCGCCGGCGGGCAGACGGTTCAGACGAGCACCGATACCCTTGACGGAGATGATGTACAAGTTACGGGCACCTGAGTTGTCGGCGCAGTTCATGACGGCACCACTATCCGAGGCATGTTAGCTCGAGAGCTCGAATAAGAGTTGTCTGTCATTCGTCCTATATCGAGTTTATGAGGCAGGCAGGTTCAGTGCGGAACGTACACGGGGAGACCCAGGGTCATCTTAAGCTTGCCACCAGGGGCACCACGCCTACACAGAAAAGAGAGAGTCGCAGTCAGTCAAAAGTCCGGTTATACAAGGTCGATTGCGGCCTTTGTCGTCGGTATTTGGAAAAGATCATAGTCAACGTCGCCAATTTCCCGTATTCGAAATGGAGTCTCAGATTGTTGATGAACCATAGGGTTGTCGACCCGCGAAATCTCGAGCGCAATACATGATTCCATTACCCATGTCGCCCTTTTTCGTGATCGTCCCGAAAAACTATGCTGCTGGTCCGTTCGTCGCGGGGTTGTTGTCACGGTGTGGTCCGTTTTCATCCTGATCGAGAGAAATTCCACCTCTTGCACGTCGCTGAAATTTTCGGTAATATCCGAGACTGCCACGCATATGAAGCACCACTTACGAGATCTTGGCCATTGTGTCGGTTTGGTTGTGGCGTTAATTCGGAAGAAAATCTGCCTGGGTCTCGATTGCCGTCGTGAGCTGAGCTGTAGTCTTGACGAGAAAAAACCAGTCAATCTGTGGGGTGCGAAACCCTATGGCAAGCGAGTGAAGGTTCACGTGACGATAACGACTTATCGGGGGACAATTTTGCAGTAAATTGCGGGGCTATCAACGTCTGGGAAGTGAAAAACTCCACATCATCAGGGTCCTTGGGTGGGTGCGGGTCAAGGAGCGATTTGGATCCATTAAATTCATATGATTCATTTCTAATATAGGGTATGCTCTGTTTCTGCTGAAAAAGGAACAAAAAGGAACCGTGAACATCGAACAAATGTTTGGCATCATGTTCTACACGCTCCGACACCAAATGCGAACTCGCTTGTCTTTTATTGCTCTTGTCTTTTATTGCTCTTGTCTTTTATTGCTCTTGTCTTTTATTGCTCTTAAATTCGACTCTTGGACCCGTCTAGCTCTTGCCTCTTCTTGCATTCTCGCGATTTTAACTTGAACCCCGAGGCTGTGATGTTCTCACTTGTCATTGGTGGTAGAATTTCCGTTCTTCTGATCTGCAAGTTTGTCTCCATCGACACATCCATTCTTGTTTTTCGACTCAGCCGCCGCCGCCGTCGATCCAGGGGAATTATTCGATGCCCCGTTTGAGCTGCCCGCCTCTGCCGGTTCAGTAAGCCTCAGCAGTCTTTCGGCCAGGCTCTCTGGTTCATTCAGGTAACGATCGAGACACGGGCTGGGAGCTGTCAATATGATGATTCAAAAAGCACTTTTTTCGTATACTGCAGGGAATCTGACCTCGAATGGCTATTGGACATCTTGACGTAAGACGACTTTGGTGTATCGCAAAGTCAAAATCTGTGGTTCAACCTGGTTTTCTTCTTTTTCCTGTTGGACTACCTTCCCTGCCAGGCCTCGTGGCTTAAATATGAAACCTACTCCGCACAACATGTCTTTAGATCGTATGCGGCTCTGCCGCAAGTCAACGTCAAAATTAGACATCATCCCAAGTTTTTTTCAGTCACCAATCAGACCATGCCACATCATGGGCGTCACACCACTGTTGTGCCAGTCACCAGGAGGAGTGGTCGTGCAGGGACATATTGTCTTGTAATTTGAACAACAGAAGCTCCATACATATACGTACAGCACAATGCACAAGCAACGGTCGCTGCTCTCTTTCAAAGTTCTGAATAGGCGTGATGCATGGCCCGCTTCAGGGAACGCTGGAGATGATGACATTGTGACGTGACGGGCGGTGGCGATATGTGCCTCGCTGAATAAAGCTTGACGATTGCTATGGCTGTCCATTGTTCACAATATCAGCGACATGGTCCAGCCACATCGTAACAATGATACCTCATGGCGTCCGCCCACTGGTCATGGGCTTGGGAAGGGGCATCGGATGCTTCCTAGTGCACAGAGTCATTGTGAAATCGCATGCATGCAGAGGGTCTCCCGAATTACGGCAATGGCAGGCGTTCCAACTTGGACTGTCACTATGTGATTATAATAAGTAGGAGTAGGAATTAATGACAAAATCCAGTAAAAGAAATTTTTTTGGCATTAGTAGTACATAGTACGTAATAATGGCACAACCTCCAACAACCACCAGCTGTTAGCTGGCCCGGTTAGCTCAATCGGTAGAGCGTGAGACTCTTACGGGTTCACAATAGCTCAAATCTCAAGGTTGCGGGTTCGACCCCCGCATCGGGCTCTTCCTATAGTACCATTCTCCGATTGGCACGTTCTCTTTTTATGTCCGCTGTCTTTTTTTTTTGGCCCCGCAATCTCACATCTCCTATATCACATTGCCGCAACAGAAAAAATAGCGACAGAGAGAGAGGGCGATATTTATTTTTTGGCGCCACTTGATCCTGCCTTACCCTTGAATCTAAGATCAGATGGCTAATTTCGTAATCTAGCCACTGGCCAATCATTTGTGTTGGCATCTTCTCTATGACTTGATGCCAATCCGCTATCGGTATATGGATGGCATGAAGGAATAAGCTTAAAATTACCGCAGTCTCTCAGTTCATGCGACCGAGAGATGAAATACGAGAGGCGGGGAGAGAAAGGGAGGGCGGAATGTCGACGATATGCTTGCTGGCTGGTGAAAAGTGAAAATCTAGACGCCTTGACCGGCACTGGCGCCAGAGCGAATCCGGCCAGTGGAAATCCATCCCGAACGCCTGTTGGTGTGGCATGGCCATGATCCATCTGGCAGTAGCAGCAGCCATCTGGCAGCCATTCTGTGCGTCTGTAATGGTCTGGTCTGGTCTGGTCTTTGTCGGCCACTGTCGACCGACCAAAAGGCCGACATCGCGCTAGCTTTTTAAACTAACGACTAGGACGAAACGGCTCGGCCTGGTCGCTTACATGGATCGCTTGCACGATCGCTTACACAGCAGCTCGCTCAACCTTGACGACGTGCTTGGGAGCACCAGACCGTCTTCATCTTCGTCTTCGTCTTCGTCTTCGTCTTCGTCGTCGTCTTCGTCTTCGTCGTCGTCTTCGTCTTCGTCTTCGTCGTCGTCTTCGTCTTCGTCTTCGCCTTCGCCTTCACCTCCGCTTTCGCTCCCATCAACGTCGTCCCAGCCATCATCGTCCGCCATCCACGCGGCGGTGTCGACAACGCAAACATGCCGTCGCCGACACCATCGTCGCCCATATATGCACAAGCTCATGCACATGCCCAAGCACGGGTTCAAGCGCCGACACACACATATACGACATCTACGCGGCACACCGACGCCACAGTCACTGCGTCGTCGTCACATTCCACGCCCGGCAATGTCACGGTATATCCCACCACCGGTCCCGAGGCCTACACCAGTCCGATCATGGCCTCGGGCGGGACTGGGCATCCAATTTTGAACCCGCGATCCTGCGTCACCTGTCGTCGCCGCAAGGTCCGCTGTGACAAGCAGATGCCATGCTCGAATTGTCGCCGTGCACAGATTCCATGCGCCTTCCCCGCCCCGGGTCGTGCACCTCGCCAACCTCGACCCAAGGACCCCAGTGCGCCACCCAAAACATCGAGCCATAGAGAGGTGGAACTCATCAAGCGACTCAAGAAGCTCGAGGGCATTGTGGAAGAGCTCAGCGGCCAGATTGACGAGCCCGGGGCTCCTGGTGGTCTTGGCGATGCTGGCGGTGTTGGTGGTGCTCCTGATACAAAGTTGCCTTCATCAGCTAATTCGCCAGACCTCGCCTATCCCGGCGAGAATCTACCCCTGCGATATACGTCCCTTGGCAACGTAGAGGAGCATGCTTCTGCACATGACGCAAGTCCCAGGGGAGCAAGCTCATCCGCAGGCGGCAGTGGCAGTGGTGGTGGCAGCGGCGGCGTGAGGTCAAAACCAAACTTTGGCCGCATGGTTTCCGACGAGGCTCGCCGTACATCTCGCTATGTTAGCAGCGGATTCTGGTCCGAGCTTAATGACGAAGTATGTGCGAACAACATGGCACCAGTTTTTTTTTTTTTTTTTTTTTTTTGCTTTGGTTGAGGCTGACATTTTGTGGCTATAGCTCGATGCGATTCGAGAGGAGACCCAATGTCTGACTGACGAAGACGATGATTCAGACTCTGAAGGAACACCCGAATACTCCACAGCCACAGCACTGAGCAACATCAGCGATCATCATGCTTTCATCTTGGGATACCGGTCTGCTGATGTTGACCTTCGAAAGTTACATCCCCTTCCAATCCAGTCCGCCCTGTTATGGTCGATTTACCAAGAAAACGTCGAGCCTCTTGTGAAAATGTTGCATGTTCCATCCGTCGACCCCGTCATGTGCGATGCGAGGACAGATTGTGATAAACTCACTCCTGGGAATAAGGCGCTGGTATTTACCATTTACTTGGCTGCAATTACGTCTCTTGAACCTAACGATGTAAGCAAGCATTCGAACCTTCGTCTGGTCGCGTCCCCGATCCCCGCGGCAACGAACCCATGCCATGAGCACGGGTCAAACATCACGAGACAAGTTCTGATGATCGCGGCCATCTAGGTACAAATAAAATTTGGTGCAAGCAAAGACGAACTGTTGGCACAATACCGCTTCGCAGCCGAACAGGCTCTGGCGAGAGCAAACTTTCTTGACTCTTCGGACCTCGTCGTGCTGCGGGCGTTCACTCTCTTCCTTGTTGTGGTGAAACGGCACGAAGATAGTCGATTTTGTTGGGCCTTGACCGGTCTGGTCATCCGAATTGCTCAAGGCATGGGACTTCACCGTGATGGGAGTCACCTGAAGCTATCGCCATTTGAAACAGAAATGCGACGGCGATTATGGTGGGCCATTTTGATTCTAGATTTCCGCTCTGCCGAGGACCTGGGAACCGATATGACTATCAGCGATAGCTCCTACGATACGCTGAAGCCGACCAACATCAACGATTCTGATATTGGACCAGACAGTATAAATGCTCCAGTGCCCCGCGAAGGAAAATCCGACTGCGCAGTGGTTGTTGTAAGATGCGAAATTTGTGCTCTCGCCAGAAAACTTCTTACAGCTGGCTCTGCCATGTCTTCTTTATGCCCGTCGAGCGAGAATTCTAGCATGGCAGACAGAGAGCGCATGCTCATAGACATGTACCAGCGCGTGGAGCACAAGTTCCTCCAACACGTCCTCGACGAGACAGATACACTCTACTGGGTCGCTGCCATGATCGCGCGAATCATAGTGGCCAAAATGTGCCTGGTCATCTATCAACCAATGCTTTTCCCTGGTTCGAATTTTGAGCTATCGGATGAGATCCGACAGCGCATCTATGTTGCGGCTATCGAGGTCATCGAGTACAACCATAGACTGAATACCGATTCGCGGTGTAAACAGTACAGTTGGCTGTTCAAAACTTACGCCACCTGGCACGCCATTGCCTATACACTAATCGAGACATGCAGACGACCATGGACCGCCTTGGTCGAACGCGGCTGGGATGCCGTCACTGGTTCCGATATTGACCCTCTTGAACTCGCCAAGAGAGCTGATCACGCTGCTGTTTTCTTGCCTCTGCGGAAGCTGTTCACCAAGGCACGCAAGCATCGCGAATTAGAGATTACAAGACTTCGGTGCAACGAAGACGAGGCTCGACGTCTCGACTTCGCAGAGCGTATGAACCCGGCACAGGCACGCTTCGGCCCCATCCCTGGCGCTGAAAACAGGATGGAACTGATGAGGGAGAAATGGTGGTCTCTCATCCGCCCTCAGGAGGCCGCCTCGAGGCCCTTTGTTGCTCACCATGCCACAACATCGTGGAGTCAATCTTCGACGAGTCAAACTGGGAGCGACGCTTTACAATCCCCTAGTGGTAACATCCCTACCGAAGTCAACCTGTCCCCCGCTCTCATGGAATACATGGAGGGGATTATGGCTCAACCAAATCACGCCATGGCCGAGCTGTGGCATCTCGATCAATTAAACGAGGGAAGCGTCACCGAGAAGTCGTTGGCACTTGGCCCCCCAATAACACCGCAAAATGCAGTTGGCGGCTACAACGTTATGGACGAACACGGCCTGGACTCCTTGCAAACACAAGCCTCCAAGGACGGCAACCTTCCCGCATATCTTTGGTCTGATGTGCTCAGGCCAGTAAATGTTGGGTCCGGTGAGGATACAGACATGATAGGAGATGACTTTAATTGGCAAGACTGGAGCCAAAGCATAAAGGGATTGGAAATGGGAAGCTCACAAACTCGCCCGGGATGGTATTAGTAATGAAACCTCTCTTAGCCGTCGGAGGGGGAAAAGTGACAAAATCGACTGCTTTTAATACTGAACTGGTGTTCCATGCGGGCAGGGGGTAAAACTTTTTGGCTTTTAGGCAATGTATGATGAAGATTTATATGATACCCCTTTTTTGTACAATTAGGAAGTTGAAAAAAAAGTTGGATGCCACTTTTCAATCCTGCGAGCGAGTTCAAGTCCGCGAACACAATCAAGTTTTACTTGCGGGGGGAAAATGAGTAGGAAAAGAATCATCCGTCCTGCCTTTCCAAGTTACTTTTGCTCTTCGCTTCAACTAACGTTTTCTGTAAAGAGGCGCTATTTTTTTTTTTTTTTTTTTTCTCACTGCCCCCTTCCTTCACTCCCCCCTTCCTTCACTCCCCCCTTCCTCTCCTCCCCTTAGAATGTTTCTTAATCAATACATTTAATAATGAAAATTGAGTGAAATTTTCAATTTGTTACATCTACAAAATACCTACTATACATATACCCGATTTTGGAAATGCACTTGCGCTTGCAGAGTGGGACCTTCTTTGGACCCACTTTACTATTCGACGTCAGCACTGTCTGTTTGTCGGCTTGAGCAGCACGGCATCAACTTTGCATTGGATACTTCTGCCAAACATCCATATTCTAGCCGCGCAAATCCTTCTTTTAACGCCGAAAAGACCTCCATCCAAACTGTGAAAGATGAATTCGGACCGTCGCGCGATGATCGAGGGCCAGAGATCTTCTCCCTCGCGTAGACGAGACCCTGTGTCGGCCAGGGTTGACTCCAAGAACAGGATATCAAAACCATCGCGATCCAGGACTTCGAAAGCCGCTCACGGCGCAGCTACATATCTCACCGAAGAAGAGCAATCGCGCAAGTTTGTCGCAGATGAAGACAAATTCGTCTTGAAGCAGTCCAAGAGGAAGGCAAACATTCGGGTGCGGGAAGGGCGAGCCAAACCTATCGATCGCCTGGCGTTCAACTTGCGCTACATT